CCACACAAATCTCATTTGATTTGTGTGAGGGCTGCAATACTGCCCAGATGCTCAAACTGAAGTAGGTGATTCCCTTAAGGAGCTCACCTGAAGCCTTCGACCTAATGGTCTGATCCACAACGCTGTGGAGCAACATCAGGAGATGAAGTCCCATGGTAGCCAGTGACCAACGCTTGATTCATACGCCATTTGTCCCTTCAGGATACTGGAGCCCATGTGCACCATTGGTTTGGAATCAGGGTTTTCCAACTCCCCTAGGTGGATCCTCCACATCCACCAACCCGGTTAAAGCGCCAGACATTCACTTTTCGTCCTCTCAATTTCGTGAACAACACCCGTGTGATACCAATATTTATGTGTTCAAATAAATAAATAAATAAGGAAGTTTATACTATTCACTTATCTGATTAACATGTTTTCCTTTATACTTTATCGGTTGAGTATACAAGTTACAATTTTATTTCCCTATTATTACTCATTTCTAATCAACTTAGAGGTTGGCATGTATATGAACTGGTACAGGTAGCCCCAACTACATTAGGTAAACAAGATAAATTCAACAAGACAAACAACAAAAGAGTCGAGCTAATGCAACAGTAATAATTATAGGAAAGATTAGACATTGACGGAATAAGAAAGTATATTCCAAGAAATAACGGGACTCAAGAAGATTTAAAAAAAAACTGAACGCATCTACGTGATTTTAACCTGTTCCTCAGTTCTATCGCACAACTTTTTCAACCTCTAATCATGATCATAGCTGGAAATCCAACCAGGTAGTCCACATCATCATCTATCCACATTTTCAGCTCAATTTTCAAAAGAAAAAGAAACGGTTATGATAACTGGTTATGTCATTAGCATCTTTCCAGTGAAATACTTTAAATATTATTGATAATTGTTATATCCCGATAACAATAGTGAATGGTAACTTTGGGATCCATTTATGGACCCATATTATGCATATAATTTTTATCGTATATTTGCTAAATAATTAAACTACTCATATTCATGTTCCTTTCATTGTGAGCTTTATTTTGACCCTTGGACTATTATTGTACGATTTTCCAATCCTGAGTTATACCCAGTCTATTAATTCCTGCCCCCCCCTATTCACAGTCACATTTGGCTAACTCTTGTACAAATGTTATTTTCTATTTTATTGGTACGTTGTGGTCAGTCTGTTTGGTATATAAACCCGGTATGTTTGAAATACAATGATTCATACCACAGAGGCTGTTATTGGTGTTTTGGACTTAACTGGCTGGGCTAGGCAGAAGCAGGATCGATAAGCGCTCTAGACTGCTCGTACGGTTTTCGTGTGTCACTGTTCCAATCGATAATTCGCTGCTCTCTGATTGGCGGTCTTATCACGTCACACATTAATTAGGCATCCACTCGGCCACAAGATATAACAATAATGAAATAACTATGATTTCCTTCGGTAATATAAATCATATATTCATTTAAATGACTTCGATTAAAAACCATGATGTTTTACCCTCATGACAACTTTCAATATTCAAAGCAAAAACCTCCAAATATTTATTCTTAATAATTTTAATTAGGTGTTTAATGTATGACCTATTTTTTTTAAAGAAAAGAACTTTATTATTTATTTATTTATTTATTTAAACACATAAATATTGGTACAGGGAAGCACCAGATAAATATGCGCCTCACAAATCTCATTCGATTTGTGTGAGGGCTGCGATACTGCCCAGGTGCCCAGGCTGAAGCAGGTGGTTTCCTTAGGGGGCCACACCCCGAGCCTTTGACCTAAACATCTGATCCACAAGTCAGTGGAGCATTGTGAGGAGATGCAGTCTCATGGTAGTAGGTGACCATCGATTGATTCATACGCCATTCGTTCCTTCAGGATACTGGAGCCAGCCCATGTGCACCATAGGTTTGGAATCAGGGTTTTCCAACTCCCCTAGGTGGACTCTCCGTGTCCACCAACCCGGTTAAAGCGCCAGACATTCACTTTTCGTCCTCTCAATTTCGTAAACAACACCCGTGGTGCGAGAAGGCAGTGAGTAGGACTTCTCTGGCAGAGGCTATATACGCATGGCCATGTGAGAGCATTTGGAGAGGGAGAGCGGACTCTTTCCACTCTCGGCCGTACCAGGGCATTTGGGGGCAGAGCCGGCGACACCCGGTATTCCCAGCCGGTCACCCATGCATGTACTGACCGGGCCCAACGTTGCTTAACTGCGGTGATCGGACGAGAACGTGGTATGGTCGCCGGCATATGAAATATGTTTGTTCAATATTCAGTTATAAGTTAACTGTCCTCAAATGCCATGGTACTGCCTAGAATGAGGAGAGTCAGCTCTCCTTCATGAAATGCTCTCATATGGCCACATGCATATCACCACTGAAAGGGATGTCTTCCTCACTGCCTTCTCGCACCACGGGTGTTGTTTACGAAATTGAGAGGACGAAAAGTGAATGTCCGGAGCTTGAACCAGGTCAATGGACATAGAGAGTCCATCTGGGGAAGTTGGGATACCCTGATTTCAAACCAATGGTGCACACGGGTCACAGGATCCTGAAGGGACAAATAGCTTATGAACCAATTGCTGGTTACTAGATACTATGAGACTTCATCTCCTGATTTTGCCCCACAGCGTTGTGGATCAGAGTTTCAGATCAAAGGCTTTGAGTGTGCCCCTTAAGGGAGCCACCTACTTCGGTTTAGGCATCTGGGCAGCATCACAATCCATACACAAATTAGTGATAATTACTACTTGCCTCACTGTTATTGTGTAGCGCATATGTATTTGCTGCCACCTCGTACCAATGTTTATTTGTTCAAATAAATAATAAGTGACTAATTGTTGAGTGTTATTCATTGTTATGCTCATCTTGTCCCTAGTGTTGATAGAATTCTGTCGACCAATGTACAACCAATCATCTGATGTTACAACATATTGGGTACAATGTTGATTTACTTCGATTGCTGATTAGATAGTACCATAGTAGACAGGATTCAATTAGGACTAAGGACTAGAGAGACATGACGTTGTTCAATAGGCAGAAATATATTATCAGAAGGGGTTTTTGTGAATATTATAGTAATTTTAATAGTTGCGATCATGAGTCAATTGAAGCTAGACCACCATAGAAAACCTGGAAGCGCTGGATGGCTGTTTCGTCCTATTGCGGGACTCCTCAGCAGTGCTCATCCCACTTCGCGAGATTCGAACCTCGGAGCTACCAGTCTCGCGCGCGAGCACTTAACCTCTAGACCAGTGAGATGGCGAGCATCCAACGGTGTTAATATATAAGTTCAACTGATATTAAGTAAACAGACAGTCATTCGTAGATTCATTGGGTCAGTGTTAACATCTTAGACCGTTGGCTTGAGTTATATATACAAAATATTAGTTCTCGAAAGATTATATGTATGACTAAGTGTTGAGTGCTAAAGAAGACACAAAATCTAGGTTTATAGTTTTACTTTTATCTAACTTCAACAATCTAAGATCAAAGTGAGAATAACTTTTATTTAGAAATAAAAAAAAAGTTAATTATTTAGCATTAAATTGTATGGATTTTGATTTGATCACCTTTTAAATGACGAGTTCTACCATAAATTTTAAATAAATATGAATAATACATACTGTCCAACTGAATAGATAGAAAATTTTCTTATTGGATAATTAGTTTATTTAACTCTGTACTAATAATTTGATAGTTGAAATCATGAATTCATTGAAGCTAGATCACCATCAAAAAACTGGAAGCACCGAACGGCCGTTTCGTCTTATTATGGGACTTGTCAACAGTGTGCACCCACGATCCCGCCTCTTGAGATTCGAACCCAGGACCCATCAGTATTATCTGTACTAATAAATCTTATTGCATCAAGTGTTGATAAGTTAGATTCCAACAGAATAAAACACTGAAAAATGTTTTCTTTCAGAGAATACCAGATGAATATTTTTTTTAGGTTTAATGAAAAGTCATGATCGAGAATAAGAAAAAAACATGAATCAAGTTTAACTTAATGATGATGATCGTTCTCTTATTTCAGTTAAAAGAAAATGAAAAATTTATTACTCTGAGTTTCATCCCAATGGCTTATCAACATGGTTCAAATGATAAATTAAAGTTTCTGGAATTTGCATAAAGTATATACAGTGTTGGACTTAATTCATTATACAAATTAGATGATTATTTTGGCTCGATAATTTAGTGGATAACGTTGTAGTGAGCAAGAACACGAGTGGAGGACAATCGAACGTATTTAGACACAAATTACAGACTATCTCACTAAAATCTGATAATCATACAGTAAACAGTTAATTTACAAAATAACCCTCAATTATCTCAATCTTCACTGTGCCTTCTGTAAATATCAATCCATCTTCTCTAATTTCATTGTTTATGCATTTTCCTATCAATTGCGCTTCATTCCAGTTCTTTCCTTATTGGTCTTCTGCCAAAATACATTCTATGCCTGACCATCACCATATACTACTTATATGGATAAAGGTAGACCACACTACAACATGTTCACCTTTAAAGAGAAACGTATTAGGTTCGAGTTCTGATGAGTACATCAATACGAATGTAGGCTCATCCAGTCAATTAATCTCAATTAAGAAAAAGAGTGACTACTATATTCCATAACTAACCAAGATCTATCTATTTCCTAAATAAATATATATATTAAACATAAGAGGTTTTGTGGAGATTTCAGTATTTTTCATGGTTGAAATCATTAGTCAATGGGAGCTAGACCACCATGGAAAATCTGCAAGCACTGGACGGTCATTTAGTCCTGTTGTAGGATTCCTCAGCAGTGCGTATCCACGATCCCGCATCGCGAGCGAGATTCGAACTCAGGACCTATCAGTCTCGCGCCAGGGCACTTAACCTCTAGACCACTGATCTGGCCGGCATCCAACGGTGTTAATGTCTAACTTAGGTCCTGGGTTCGAATCTCGCTAGGCGCGATCGTGGATGCGCACTGCTTAGGATTCATATAATAGGACGAAACGGCCGTCCAGTACCTCCAAGTTTTCCATGGTGATCTATCTTCAATTAACTCATGATTTCAACCATGAAAAAAAATATACATATACATATATTAAACAAAACTAACCTGACCAGTTTTCTCTAATAATTTTTGTATATTCAATGACTCAAAATATGATTTAGCATATGGATCTAATTGTCCATTATATGGTGGTATAATAGATCCATGTTTTGGATTTGCTTTAGAATAATCATCACATATTTGTCTAACAGCAATACAATCTAATATAAATTGACGTTCTAATAATTCTAATTCTTTGGAATTAAGATGTGAATGAATTTTATCAACATAATCATAAATTTTATTTTGTTTTTTACAACAAACCATTTTTTTTCGGTTGTTTGTCGAATGAATTCAATGTTTCAATAGTTTATATTTGTTTTAAATAGTATCTATGGGAAAGAAATGATCTAGTACCGGTTTTTATAAATTATACCCCTTTTTTTTCTAAAGTTTGTCATTGGTTGATATAAAAAAAAAATAAAATGACACACCTATGTGCATAAATTTGAATGTGATATCTATTTTGCATAATGACTTGTAAAATTGTACATCAGCTGAATTATTTAAAGTACAGTTGATAGAAAAAAGTACAATCTTGTGTAATTGTGAACTTTGATGTATATATTTTTTTCCTTTCTATTGAATAGTTGTTTATCACAAAATACTGAAACTGACCGTTGCTGCTACTTTGATGTGGTGGTCGGGCTTGCCTATCGTGATGAACCAATCAAGCTATACTGGCTTGTCCTACCATGCCAGGCAGGTCGGTTGAAGAGCGGTAAAACTAAAAGCACACCTCGTCTTATCCCACGGATATCCTTCTCCGGTGGTAAGGTCCCAACATGTACGGAACTAACACAAAAACTACTCACGAAAAAGTCGTGTGTGACCGACCTCAAACAGTTGTCCCTTGGGCACTGTGGTCACGCTCTCAGGTTATTAAGACCACTTCTAATCCGATTTTCTTTTCAGGTATCTCTAGAAGAACCCTTTCACGGTGTGGGCAACGAGGAAGTGATAACAGCCCTCATACATCTAACAACACTCAAGACCACTGACCGATAAGATTAGTGGGGAAAAACACAGTAAACCCTAGTCAAATTATTTAGTCATTCACAATGTTTTCCTACCTCTAGACAAACAATCAAATATGGAGTTGTTGATCTTCTTGGATGAGGATGAAGAATTATATGTGAATAAGTAGATCGTGGAACAGTTCGGTTTTGTTGTGTCTACGTTATTCATTCTTTCATTGCCCATCTAAATACAATTCCCTTGAAAAAACGTCCGGTCATTTTTTGGATTATACACAGGAAGCGATAGGGATTGGCTATTTGCTTAGGGTGGACCAGGCTAACAGTCCAATGAGTTTAATGGTGTTTGTTAGAGTATATGTCAGATAAACGGTTACACAATTATTATCCAAAAGGGGTTTTGCAGATATTACAGTAATTTGATAGTTGAGTGCATGAGTCAATTGAAGCTAGACCACCATAAAAAACCTGGAAGCACTGCTTGACGGCCGTTTTGTTCTAGTGTAGAACTCTTCAGCAGTGCACAATTTTTGGGTAAAGGAATGTTCATGGTTATTATATGCCTGAGTGTTTACAATCCAACAGAGTAAAAGACATCGATCAAGAAACGAGTTAAACTTACAGAGTAAACAATGAAAAAGTTTAATAGACAAATATATGAAAACTAATAATCGTTCAAAAACTCAAAAGAACTCTGTTTAATGCAATAGTAAAAGAATTTCTGTAGATCATTGTTAAAAAAAGATGATACCCGTTATTATTTACAATTATGCAACATGGTTTGATAGATTAAACATATTATTGTTTCTCTTAAAAATGAAAATATAAAACTTAAGTATAAGGTCTTCAGTTTATATTTGTCAACATGATTTCCTATTTTAAACATTTTACGCGATCCGGTTTGGCTTGCCATTCACGGGCTTAGTGCATGGCATACACCTAGCTTCGTGCTGGATTTCATGTACGCTGGCTTAGCGGTAAATATCCTAGGCTGCAGAGTTTGCCATTATTTCTATGAATTTGGGAAACCAATGTATGAGGTTATTGGCATACAACTTAAAAATGCCTTCGAATGCCCTGATACGAACGAGAATTGGGAGAGTTTTCTCTCTTTCACGAAATACTCTCATATGGTTACGCGTATACATCTACTGATAGGGAATTGCTACTCACTGCTTTCTCACGGCGGGGGTTGTTTACGAAATGGAGAGGATGAAAAGCGGATGTCCGACGCTTTAACCGGGTTGGTGGATATGGAGGATCCATCATTTTCCAAATTATTCGATGATATTAGCTCATCTAACAATAAACTTTGATGATTAATATCAGGAAGAGATTAGAAAAGTGAATAGAAGTAAAAAAAAACATAAACAGTTTTATTTCAGTTAATTTGTTTGTTTATTTCATAACAGTATTCCAGGGCCGAGTCCACTAGTATTCAGAAAATGGCTGTTAGTGATATGATTAATATCGTAAATGGATCAATGTTAGACCACCATTGAAAACTTGGAAGCACCGTTTTATGGCCGTTTTTTTCTAGTATGTGACTTCTCAGAGGTGCGTACCCATGATCCCGCACCAAAGAGGCTGGATCCCAGTACGTACGCTTGACCTCTAGACCACTGAGTTGGCATCCAGCGGTGTTAATGTCTAACTTCAACCATTCCACGATAATAAGCTTCCTAAAGCTACTATAGTTCTACAGATTTTATTATTTCACTGACATAATAATCTTGATTTTTACGAACTCTTTCTTTGTCGACTGAAAAGTGGCCTCGAAATCATAAGATCATTTACAACGTCTCTACTAGATCTTCCTAATATAACATAATTGGTATCTGGAGAGAGACTGGTTGGTCCTGGGTTGGAATCTCGCGAGATTATTGAATAACTTGTATATTACATGAAATTTTATAATTATACAACATTATTATGAAAATGAATTCTATCTGAAGTTTGTACTGATGATGTCGTTTAAAAGAATGATGAAAGCTCCATGGGTTCGAATCTCACCAGGCGAGGTCGTGGATGCGCACTGCTGAGGAGTCCCATAATAGGACGAAACGGCCGTCAAGCGATGCTTCCAGGTTTTCGATGGTGGTCTAGCTTCAATTGACTAATGATCTCAACTCTATAAAATAATTGGTATTTGTTTATTAATTAATTACTTCTATCCCCTTTCTTTTCTTCGTTTTCAATGATTGTTAGTTATTTAAAAAGATGTTAATCAGTTTTCTAGTGTACTAATTCAAATGTCTTATTATTTGTTTTTTGATCTTTTGTTTTAATTGTTCAATCTCTTGAAGTACAAATCAAATTATCAAGAAACAAAGAAACTTGTGATCACTCATCTGACCTTTGGTTTTGTTTAAATACTTGGGAAATAGAATATTTATGTTATAGTTGAAAGCGTGAGTCAATTGAAGCTAGACCACTACGGAAAACCTGGAAGCACTGGACGGCCGTTTCGTCCTATTATGGGACTCCTCAGCAGTGCGCATCCACGGTCCTGCACTCGCGGGATCGTTAATGTCTAACTTCAACACCGTTGGATGCCGGCTCAGTGGTCTATCGGTTAAGTGCTCTGGCGCGAGACTGATAGGTTCTGGGTTCGAATCTCGCGAAGCAGGGTCGTGGATGCGCACTGCTGAGGAGTCCCATAATAGGACGAGTTGGCCGTCCAGTACTTCCAAGTTTTCCATTGTGGTCTAGCTTCAATTGACCCACACTTTCAACTATAAAAATACTAAATCTCCACAAAACCCCTTCTGATAATAATTTATGTTATAGTAAGTGTATAGAAATATAGTAATGGTGACGTTTAGATTATTAATAATATAAAACAGAATGTAGTAAAACTGAAATGTTCGATCTAAATAAATTAGTTAGTTGTACAAGAAAACCATTTTATTCAAGTTTCATATACATAGTTCCGTTTATTGATCTAAAAGGAACAAGTACAGTAGAACAGAAAACAAAGGTGCTACTTTAAATTCTACGACCAGATTTTAAAATATCTCTACTTAAAAGGAGTGATTACTGTTAAGTGTATTGAAGATACGACTAGTATTGTAGTTTGACAACTATTAACCAGTAACACCTTCTATATTCGAATCGTCCCCCCGCTTAGTTAGAATCAGAAGTCAGAGGCGAAGATGTTGGAAGGATATATTTGATGCGTTATCAATATATCGAGAAGCGGTTGCTCTAATCTGGCTAGTGAACGTAAGATATGTTTCTCACCCTGATCTGTAACGTGATCTGGTGTGGATGCATGATCGAACGCCTTCAGCTAAACAAGTTCACTTAAAACAATGTGGTCAGCATCTAATGTCGAACACTTAAAGAGCTATTGATTTTGGGGAATTATTTACAGCTACAGTATAATATCTAGGCAATTAAATAATGTTGAACATCAGATGAATACTTTGAAATGTTTTAAAATCCTTGCTAAACTGAATTATCTGTCTGGAAACGAACAGTTGTTAGTTCTACATTTCACTGGTAACTTTTCCTGTATTTCGTTTCACCATTTTTTTAACGCTTTTATTTACGCATTAGGTTACCCTATTCATTTCTAGTGTGTTATTATATTTTTAACTGTTTAACTTTATTTTCAACTATTTCACCACATAATCACTTAAGTTCACTCCTGTATTCTGATACCGTTTAAGTTGATATGCCAGAAACTTGTATTGCAAAATTTTATTGAATATTTTTAATTTTAAACAAACATGGTTGGTAGCTAGCAGCAGTACAATCCAGGATGCGCGTTTCGTCTATCCATGTTTGGTTATAATGCTAGTGAATTAAGACAGTGTCAAGACAATCCGCACAGTATGCACATATGCCGATAAGAGACTAATTGATTGCAGTCCTAAACATATGTAGTGACCGTCTCGTCTCGACGAGAACACGATTGGAGCAATTGAAACAATTATTATTATTGTAATCAATTGTACCAGTGATTGTTTTACTGTACTTGTTTAACTGTATCAAAGGCACTTCTCGTTCCGCTATCTGCCTTGTTTGGTTCAAACTTTCTTACGCTCTGCCCATTTTGCCTGTACTCATTGGCACGTCTCAGTATTCTTTCGATACCATGAGATCGCCAATAAATATACTTTATCTGGACTAATTAAAGCCTTCTGGTTTGTGAGTTATCATAGGGAAGAAGTCGTTTTTGGGCGCGTAATCGAACTGTAGTGGTGATCATAGTCTATTCTCGACTCGACACCATCTACACATTAGTAGGGAGATTCAAAAATACAGTACAAAATGAATCCATTTCTACTTTACTTTACACTCCTATTATGCCGTGCTGATAATTATTTTCATCAAATTCTAAACTATCATTTCCATCTTAAATTTTATGTGAATGTTTAATACTGAAATATTACAGAGGTTATAAAGAGGTGAAATGTCAGTATCATGCAATAGTTTCACGTCAACTTATCTTCAATAACAAGAAAACAATTAGTGTTTTTCATTGAAATCATGGACTGACTAAAGTCAGACTCACATTGAGAACCTAAAAGCACTGAATGACCATTTCATTGTAGTATGAGACTACTCAACAGTGTGTATGAGCAATCATAATACCCGCTGGAATCGAATCCACTACCCACGGTCTCATGTGCGAACGGTTAACATTTAGATCACTGAGCTAGCATCCAGTGGTGT